AAAAAAAAAAAAAAAAGTAGTTGAAGCAGATTATTAGGGTCTGTACTGCTTCTACAGCTGTTGGTGGTCAGATTTGTTTACGATTACCAGTGCAGTCAAATCAGTTTGTCACTGTGGTCGTCGGAGATTTTTCATAAGAATGTTTACTCTTTTGAAAATTTGATTATTGCCGTTAGTTGGTATTGTTTGAGGAATATTATAAAACGGATAATCACTCTCTGGTTTTCAAAGTCTTAGTCTTAATTGTAATTGGATAGACAGACAAAAAAAAAAAAAAAAAAAACAAACAAGTGAATAAAAAATTTTTTGTTCTATTTAGTCTAAATTTTTTTCTTTTTTTTTACCCTTTGCAGTTTCTACAATTAGTCATCAAAATGTATGGATAGAGTTGGATGTTAGTTGTGCACATCGATACAATGAGTCGCTGCTATTCTTCAAAAATATTATTGATGAGTAATTTGGTTTATAATTAATAATGACTGGTAAAATGTTGAGAAATTACTGCTGAATAATTGTATTACAGTGTATTTTGTTGAAAAATGCACTTTTTTTTTGCTTTTTAATACAGTTTTTGCAGCAAAAGTTTTAGTCTATTTCAAAAATGTTTATTGTTCAACGTTTTTATAAAAAAAAAAAAAAAAAATGAAACACTTATTGAAGGATAGAGGAGACTGGGAAAAGGTAATGGAATAAGGTGAAAGGTGAATAGAAAAAAAGAAATTTTTTTAGATGACAAAAAAAAAATTAAATTTTTTTTTTTTTTTTTGCAGCTAAAGAAACCATAGGAAATGAAATTAATTTTCAAGCAACTGCAAAAGTATCATTGGGCTATAGATTTTCAGTTAAATATATGTTTTAGTATGACGACAAATCTCGGTTTTTTTGTTTTCCTTTTTCACTTCGTTTACTTACTGATTAATATCGGCAGTAATGAACTTTTTCCTATAATCAACTGCTATATTTGCCTTTCATATTTTTCTATTCTTTTATGTTGCTTTTTTTCCTCTTTTTTTTGCATGACTAAGCGTTCGCAGCAATCGATGATATATCATTTTTTTCGAGGAAAACATTGGTTTATTGAATGAAATTTACAGTTCTTATATAAAAACGAAAAACTG